TTTTTTTCTTTTTGCTTGTCAAATAACCTCCCCCCTTGATCTTTGTGACTAAGCTTATGCAGATTGTCCACGATGATGAGGAACGATGAAGCAAAAATGATATAACATCGTTCTAAGTAATAAGACGTTAGATCTGATCGGCTGATATTGACATTTTATGCAATATTCTGTCATGATTCACTGTTTATATTTTTTGCGGGGCGGGGGGGGTCCAAGCTGTGAAGATTCACGTAGACCTATTTGAGATTCACGTCTATTTGGAGGATCCTATGTTTACCATATGGTGACAAAACATCAGACCAGAGTTAACAAAACAAACAAAAGTTTACAGAGCCAGTTCACTTTCAATCTTTTTACTTGGGATTGATCAATGAATAGGCCTAATACTACATGTATATTATTAATACAACATTGAAGCAATGTCGTTAATTATTTTCCTCATCACAATATTTATCATGTATACTTTGCAAGCATATAATTTTTATTTCAAAAAGAGATTGATGATTTTTTTTGGGGTGTGTGTAATAAATAGAGGATATTCAATGTTTTGTAGTTGATATGGAATTTATTTCACGAGTGGGACAGGATTTTTTTTTATATTTTCATGAGTGCGAATACACATTTCTAGGCATAATTTATGCTTGAAATACACCTTAATCAATGCTTATCATATTGTAAACTTTAGATATTAAACGTTCATTCTATATCCAAAAAGGATCACAAACATGACAACTGTTTTTACTATTGTCAATGTGAGGCATGTGAATTTCCTACATGCACTATATTTCAGACATGCTGACCTTCACCTTTTTAATATTGTGGCTTTCGTAGAATAAAGAGCCCCATGAGATTTCATGCCCAACTGGTAAATTAAAGCGTTTCTTTCTTTTAATGAACAAAAGAAATACATAAATTATTAAGTGATAAGTACAGTATTAGTTCTTGAAATTCATCATACATGTATTAGTTATTGAGGGGAAGGAGGGATTAATGATAAAACAACGTTAATTTTGTTTTTTGGTCAGATATTGAATTTTGATCTTGCCCCTTTAAGACGATAAAATTGAACTGGTATTCCTTGTTAACAAGCAAGGAATTATCAAAATATGTACGTTAAAGCCTAACAAATGGTATCATATCGACATTATTATTTGGAATATATAAAATAATGGGATTATTTCTATGCATTTTTTATTGCGACAAATATTACGCAAAAATTATCATAATTTTAACAAGTCAAGAAAGCGTAAACAGGGCAATTAAATCAGCCAGAGTGTATCATTTTTTCTGATCTCCTTGTACAAGTTGACAATATTTTGACGTTATAACATTCCATTTGAAGAGGACACTAATTTTTTTTTTTTACAATTGTAAGGTATAACACAACAACATGAAGCGGTCATAAGTTTCCGTATATTTGTCTTCGGTCTTTTCAACAAAGGCATAACACAAAAAAACTAGTACGCTGTTGTTCCGTAAAATCTTTATCACGCACACTTCAAATAAATTTGATCGACTCGCTTCTGTATATTTCCTATAAACAAGCATTCTGAGAGTATTGCATTAGCAATACTAGTCCCCTACCGGCAAGTGTAATCTGGTTTCCGTTAAGAATTGAAAATGCCATAATTCCGTCAAAAATTAATGAAGCGGGACGAAATGCGAACTTGATCTACATGTATAACTAATCAAGGTAAAGCCACATACCAAAAATCAGCTCAATATCTACAAGCGTTTAGAAGAAAATTGCGGAAAACCCTTAAAAATTGAAAAGGCCGTAATTCCTTCAAAAATCAATGAAGCGGAACGAAATGCAAACTTAATCTGTAACTCATCAAGATACACTCACATACCAAAAATCAGCTCAATATCTGCAAGCGTTTAGGAAAAAAGTGCGGAAAACCAAGTGGGACAGACTGACAGATCAGACAGAGGACAGAGAGACAGACAGCTAGACAGACAGACAGACGGACAGACGGACGGACGGACAGACTCAGAGGAAACCTATAGTCCCCTCCGGTTTCACCGGTAGGGGACTAATAATGGTCTATTTTTTACTTAGATATATCACGATAAATAATCTTTAGATCAATTTTTATCTCGTTATAACGAGATAATTATCTCGTTATAACGAGATAACTAACTCGTTATAACGAGATATTAACTTATAACAGATAACTTACTCGTTATAACGAGATACTGACTTATATTTAATTTTAGCGGTATAGAAATTGGTACATGAAAGTGTATAAGTCGTCCAAGAACATTTCGAAATAGTGTCAATCATCAGATATAGTTGTCATAAATAAATTGCCAAAGTTTGAAGCAAGTATATTTGGCAATATTATTTTAAGAAAAATATCGCGTCCTAAAGCAACAATTTAAGGAAGCGTTTACGTATTATTGTGTAAATGTATTCGCCTTAGAATTGCTATACTTATCAAAATATGATTAATGACAGCGAGATAGTTCAAGATTTTATCATAAGTAAACCCCAGAGCTAATTAAATTTTCAACCATTCATCATTTGTTCAAGTTAAATTTGACTGATAATTACTAGCTAAAAATTCAATGGCATTAAAACTACAGCCATTTCTATTCCTATGTTGCTATTAAATCTCGAAATAACGAGAAAACTATCTCGTTATAACGAGAAAATTATCTCGTTATAACGAGAAAATTATCTCGGTATAACGAGATACTTACTCGTTATAACGAGATAACTAGCTCGTTATAACGAGATAACCAACTCGTTATAACGAGATACTAACTCGTTATAACGAGAAAACTCGCTTGTTATGACGAGTTAATTTTTTTTATCTTCTCAAAAATGAGCCTATCCGGCTTTCGTATTTATCAGCATTTGCTTACTGAAATAATATTTTCAGGCAAGATATACATGTGTATTGGATCACATGAATACAGTTAGTTTAAGTACGATTAACCATAATGATAGAAATTGAGTGACAAAGACCGTTTAGGAAAAATTATACGTGTCTCGGCTCAGAATATGTACAGTCCCAGGGCACAAATAAAATTCTCGCAAACGCTGAATATTTGGTTTAAACAATTCTGGAATTAAAAATTCATGGGTTCCTTTTCTTGGAAAGGTTTGATTGAAAGAGCCTAATGATCAGCAATTTATTTGTATGAAGTAAAAGAGTGCATACGAGGGATAATGACACTTGGCTGTTTTCACCCATATTTATTAATCTTTGATCCTTTTATTCGCTCCTACCCTTCAAAGTTCTCACCCTTGGCCTGGATACACTTTTTTAGACGATTAATCCACTTCTGGAAATTTTTTCATACTCCTCAATAGGAATACCCATCATATACTGATAAATCGCAGACCCAAGGGCATTTCGTGATTTGTATCTTTTTCCAGATATGTGGAATGTACGTTTGGGGAACACTAAGAAGTCGCATGGGCTAAATTTGGAGAAAAGAGGTCTAGGACAGTAAACAGTAACCTTTCCCAACTCCAAATACAATGCGTGCTTGGTGTGCAGGCGCATTGTCGTGCAAAGTACCCATTTTGTGTTGATGACTTTTGTAATATTTCACCAGTTTTTAATAGCATTTTAATAGAATTTACCTGTGACGGTCTTGCACTTTGGCACAGGAATTTGCATAACAGGGCCTTTATTGTCAAAAAAATTACATATAAAACCTTCTTCACACTTCGTAATCTTTTAGCAAGACTAGGACGTTTTGCATTATTTGATGCCCACATTCAGTTAGAACTCAAACTCAGTTTGGGCTCAAAATAGTATACGCAGGTCTCATCACCAGAAACTAAATTATCAAAAGTCTTTTTGGTATATTTTGAATATAATTTTAATAATTTCTTTGCATTTTCAACATGAACTTTCTTTTGTTCATCACTAAGCAAATGAGGCATCCACCTAGCATTTATCTTTCTAAGCTTTAGATGTTTTTTTCAAAATACTATGAAGACGTGCTAACGACACTTTTGTCTTCCGAGTCAATTGCCTCACGGTATATCTTGCGTCTTTCTGTAGGATTTGGTGGATTTTTACGATGGTATTATTGGTTGTAACTGTTGCAGAGCGACATTGGCGAGCAGCATCTTTGAGGTGTTCATAACCTGTTTTGAATTTAACAACCCACTAACAAACAGACCTTTGAGACATTTGACTTTCCCATAGATATCACAGACCTCAAGATAAATATCTACGGGTTTAATGCGAAGTAAGGACCTACCTTTTATATAGGCCCTAATTAAGTGCATTCTTTGCTCTTTTTCCAGTCATTTTGAGTATAGTGTAATGAATACGCTATATAAAGCAATATACACTGTAGCTGTGAACATGAAATTTTCTACCGCTACGGCTCAGTGATCAATATAACGTGTTTATATGATTTCAGTAAGATATTTACACGATTTTCACGCGAAGTAGGTGAATCTTTTTTTATTTCACTTCTGGTCCGAAGCTATGGCCAATTTTCAAATTTTAAAATGGAATTTTGTCCGTTTTTTATTTCTCTAAAACAGTTTGAGGCAAATAAGTGAAATGTACTGGAATACCAAAGTATGACATTTGTCAAGTTACAAGGCGGTTTCATTTGTTTCCAATACTTCCTGTCCGAAACCGGAAGTGGATTTGTGTTTCGATCAATTTTTGGCTTCTTCGGTTATATATATATATATATATATATATATATATATATATATATATATATATATATATATATATATATATATATATATCTGTTTTGAAATCAGATGGCGAATTTGTCATTTTCCCCATTTACCTAGTGTGTATACGTTGTGCAAAAAAAGATAACTCTGACTTGTAAGTGAGAATAGAACTTTCGAGACTGTTGCGATTAAGGCGGATATAGCGTTCACCGAGCACCGTTTTTGGTTCTAAATTTATTTTTCTATGGGGTATACGGAGAACGCTTGATTTCACCAAGAGGCTTGTAAACAAAGTTGATAACGTCAAAACCGTGACAATACTGTTTCGCAAGACATCGCTTTATTTACATTTAATGAAGCGATTTAAGAGAGGATATGAGAAAAGGAGGAATGGAAACACGTGGCAGAAAGGCAGATTTGATAGAAAGGTACTTAAAGTTAATAATTCAGCAAAACATGGGAATTACTATCATTCGTAGTAATAATGTTGAGCAGACGAAAGTGTGCACTTGTTGACGTTAGAGGACGTGCTGCATGTACCTTTGTCTCTCACATCACAGTCATTGTTATGTCTAACATGCTCTTCATTGTCAGATTGACACTTAACTTCAATATAAAACTTGCAGAATGTGAAGGCGTCCAGTCTCTGCTGTCTGACCCTAAATTGGCTAAAAGTGGAATGTATATGGCCCTCAAAGATGTGTCAACAACTTCAGTCATAACATTGAGATCTGCCTTGTATCTGTGTTCAACAAATAGATGTGTACTTTATGCATAGACTTGCAGGTTTGTTTACTGAATATGTTCATTAAGATAAATCATACTTATATTAATGCAAGACATTGTGCACTCATACACACACCCATGTATAGGGATTTTATATATTAGTAGTAGTACAGTTAAAATTTGGTATCTCGAACATTGAAATTTGGGTTCCGTAGATATTTGAGATATCTGTATTTACCTGTACTATGCAGCCCTAGTAAGAATAATCTAACTTTGTCTCGGGTGGAGCCCTCACCGGATCTGTACGACAATATCATTTTAACGATAGAATCTATATGCAGCCCATATTCCACACTTGAAATGTTAATGATAATTCTTGTTATAGATACTTAAATGAATCACCCCCCAATTTTACAAATAAAATATCACAAGTATTTTTAAAACATATATTACTCTTTGCTATGTTCTATATAATTCATCATGATTATTGAACATTTTATTTAGGTCAACTAGAACTTCAAACTGTAGATAAATGGCAAAGAAGAAGTTTTAAATTCCCACTATGAATTACTGAGAGGCAAAGGGTACCATGGTATGTGTAAACATTAAGCTGCAGTGTTCCTGATGTTACACCATTTTGCTGCAGGCAATATTGAATAGACTGATGGTCAGGAGATCAAATGCAGAAAAAATCAAAAATTTCATAATTTAGCCAAAATATTTATTTTTCAGGTATAAACTTAATCCCAAGATTTACTTAAATTAAATACATGTAATTAAATAATAGGTTTGAGTATCGCAAGCTACCTAACGATATGATACAAATCACGATACGGTCATACGATACAAGATGTATCATGATACAGCTGTCAAAAATTGAATTGACGTTATCTTAACACATTATTCATTGCTAACATCTACAGTTATAGAAAATACAAAAATAATATCTTGATACCCCTGACCAAAGGTTATTATAGGTGGATTTATAGTCTTGACAATGTATTTTTTCTTTGTTACCTTGTTTTCAGTCATTTTAAAACATTAAAATTTGTTAGCTTGTATGTAGAAGAGTTTCATACAAAACAATGAAAATTGTAATGTACTGTATCATGATATATACATGGCAATACGATATGCGTATTGTAAGCCCTTGTGATCAATACGATCGATGTATTGCTGTATCGTAACACCTCTATTAAATAACTGTATGGATAGCCTATAGCCTTCCTGACAATATACATTGTATTTACATACTATACATGAGTTCTGCATACTTCAGTCAAAATATACAGTAACAATCATTTTACCACTCCTGAAGCTTGATATTATGGATAAATAAACTTTTATTTATTTCAGCCTCTCCAATTGAAGCAGTAGATCACTGAAGAAAGAAATTTTAATGACTTCTTTGATAACCCCTGGCTAGAACCATTATAGAAATAATCATGGATTCCATGACAGGGACAGGAATATGGTCATCAACTACTGTTTAAATACTTCAATTTCTTGACTGTGGATCATGAATTCAATGAAATTGTATTGAAAATGAATTCAAAGCGAGATCAGTTGTACATCTCTTAATGAGAATTTCACTTCTCTGATACATCTCTTTTACATTCTCAGATTTGTTAATTCAAAAAGATTTTAATTCTGTTTATTTAAAATTGGATCTCCTCTATTCATTTTAATACTACAGGAAATATCTTAGCATCCTTTGTAATATGTAAAAGATAAATGTATAACCATCTACACAATTACTACAGCTACTAATTACCAGATTTTTGCATTCCCTCTGTACAAAGAACATGCATAAAGTAAATGAATTTTTCTACAATTCTTGCAATTATATTCCAACTTTTTTGTCCAGGTGATCAAGCCTTGAATATATTTAAGGAAGCTCCAAACACTAGGAAAAATGTTTTAAGAAAGTTGTATCAAATAAAGATGTACATATTGATTTTATGTAGCTCATTTTTAACATAGAATACATGTACCTGCCATATTTTTCCAGGGAAAATGTTTAAAGACAATGAAGTATTCACATGAATGCTGTTTACTTATACATGTACTAGGAAAATATATGCAGGTCATGTATTCAATAACTATATTTTGGTCTAATGTATTAGGAATGCATGTTTTTTCAACTGTTTCTAATTGTGACATTTTCTAAAAATCCTGTTTATTTTTCCTCAAATGCCAGATCACGATCCAATTATATACAGTAATCACTCTAAAAAGGAAGTTCCGGGACTGTCAATCTTGCTTCGTTATTAGCATAATTCGTTACATCTGTTAAGTATTAAATACATCTGAAGTCAAGGAGAATGAAAATCGCTTCGCTTTAAGCGTCACTTCATTATAAGCATATTCGCTATAAGCATGTTTTACTGTAATTAGAACTTTTTCAGTGAGCAGTGTTTACAGCTTAAACATTGAATTGGTAAATGTAAAAGAAGAAGTTGTACATTTAAGCTTTCATATTGACTGTAATTAGTTTAATTCTTCATCATTTTTATTGTGCACTTTTGTCGACTAAGTAACATTCCCAGAATTAGCCATTGCAAAATATATAAAGGATAAAATTCAGTTCATATACCACAGGCATTGACAAATAGCTGGACATGTTTAATTGTTGAAACCAGTGTAATCCTAAACTTTTTTTACAATTCTCAATTTCTGGAAGTGGTCAATAGAAAAGTTGTCCAAAGTCTGCATGGATATTGGATCTATTTATGAATAGGTTCCTTTGTATTCAGGGGTAGTCTCTCCTGTAGAAAATTCAAAAATAACAACATGTTGGATTTGATTACTACATGTCATCTCCATTACAGACGAGGTGCTTGGTACCTGCTATTTTATCCCACAGTTGCTTTTAACAATGTGGAGTCTCTTCAAATTGTCTTCTATCACTTGCTATGCTGAAATTGAAGTCACATATGGTTACTGGACTTTAGCAAGCACTTCAATCTAACCAAACTATTATTTTTTGTCGAATCAAATAACATCAATAATGTAATCTTATTTTGTGATTCACTTTTCATACAGTCATAACTCTTTACATGTTATGGCTCAGTGATAAATAAAAACTATAAATTCACTTGTTTTTTACGAGACTTGCATGATGCATGATTAAAATTGTACTTACTTTCGTATTGGAAATTCTGAATTCTGAAATGTAAAACAAAACATGTTATGGCTCAGTGATAAATTTATTTATCACTGAGCCATAACATGTAAAGAGTTATGACTGTATGAAAAGTGAATCACAAAATAAGATTACATTATTGATGTTATTTGATTCGACAAAAAATAATAGTTTGGTTAGATTGAAGTGCTTGCTAAAGTCCAGTAACCATATGTGACTTCAATTTCAGCATAGCAAGTGATAGAAGACAATTTGAAGAGACTCCACATTGTTAAAAGCAACTGTGGGATAAAATAGCAGGTACCAAGCACCTCGTCTGTAATGGAGATGACATGTAGTAATCAAATCCAACATGTTGTTATTTTTGAATTTTCTACAGGAGAGACTACCCCTGAATACAAAGGAACCTATTTATAAATAGATCCAATATCCATGCAGACTTTGGACAACTTTTCTATTGACCACTTCCAGAAATTGAGAATTGTAAAAAAAGTTTAGGATTACACTGGTTTCAACAATTAAACATGTCCAGCTATTTGTCAATGCCTGTGGTATATGAACTGAATTTTATCCTTTATATATTTTGCAATGGCTAATTCTGGGAATGTTACTTAGTCGACAAAAGTGCACAATAAAAATGATGAAGAATTAAACTAATTACAGTCAATATGAAAGCTTAAATGTACAACTTCTTCTTTTACATTTACCAATTCAATGTTTAAGCTGTAAACACTGCTCACTGAAAAAGTTCTAATTACAGTAAAACATGCTTATAGCGAATATGCTTATAATGAAGTGACGCTTAAAGCGAAGCGATTTTCATTCTCCTTGACTTCAGATGTATTTAATACTTAACAGATGTAACGAATTATGCTAATAACGAAGCAAGATTGACAGTCCCGGAACTTCCTTTTTAGAGTGATTACTGTATATAATTGGATCGTGATCTGGCATTTGAGGAAAAATAAACAGGATTTTTAGAAAATGTCACAATTAGAAACAGTTGAAAAAACATGCATTCCTAATACATTAGACCAAAATATAGTTATTGAATACATGACCTGCATATATTTTCCTAGTACATGTATAAGTAAACAGCATTCATGTGAATACTTCATTGTCTTTAAACATTTTCCCTGGAAAAATATGGCAGGTACATGTATTCTATGTTAAAAATGAGCTACATAAAATCAATATGTACATCTTTATTTGATACAACTTTCTTAAAACATTTTTTCATTAGTGTTTGGAGCTTCCTTAAATATATTCAAGGCTTGATCACCTGGACAAAAAAGTTGGAATATAATTGCAAGAATTGTAGATAAATTCATTTACTTTATACATGTACATTATACAGAGGGAATGCAAAAATCTGGTGATTAGTAGCTGTAGTAATTGTGTAGATGGTTATACATTTATCTTTTACATATTACAAAGGATGCTAAGATATTTCCTGTAGTATTAAAATGAATAGAGGAGATCCAATTTTAAATAAACAGAATTAAAATCTTTTTGAATTAACAAATCTGAGAATGTAAAAGAGATGTATCAGAGAAGTGAAATTCTCATTAAGAGATGTACAACTGATCTCGCTCTGAATTCAATTTCATTGAATTCATGATCCACAGTCAAGAAATTGAAGTATTTAAACAGTAGTTGATGACCATATTCCTGTCCCTGTCATGGAATCCATGATTATTTCTATAATGGTTCTAGCCAGGGGTTATCAAAAAAGTCATTAAAATTTCTTTCTTCAGTGATCTGTTGCTTCAATCGGAGAGGCTTAAATAAATAAAAGTTTATTTATCCATAACATCAAGCTTCAGAAGCGGTAAAATGATTGTTACTGTATATTTTGACTGAAGTATGCAGAACTCATGTAAACTTAGAGTATGTAAATATATTGTCAGGAAGGCTATCCACAGTTATTTCATAGAGGTGTTACGATACAGCAATACATCGATCGTATTGATCACAAGGGCTTACGATATGCATATCGTATCGCCATGTATATATCATGATACAGTACATTATAATTTTCATTGTTTTGTTTGAAACTTCTACATACAAGCTAACAAATTTTAATATTTTAAAATGACTGAAAACAAGGTAACAAAGAAAAAATACATTGTCAAGACTATAAATCCACCTATAATAAATTTGGTCAGGGGTATCAAGATATTGCTTTTATATTTTCTATAACTGTAGATGTTAGCAATGAATAATATGTAAAGATAACAGTCAATTCAATTGTTGACAGCTGTACCATGATACATGTTGTATCGCATGATCGTATCGTGATATGTATCATATCGTTAGGTAGCTTGCGATACTCAAACCTATTATTTAATTACATGTATTTAATTTAAGTAAATCTTGCCAATGGGATTAAGTTTATA